ATACAAATTTTCTCTACACAATTTTCTCTGGATAGAGCCACACAAAGCCACACAAATTGTCTCTAACACAATTTTCTCTAGATAGAACCACACAAAGCTACACAAATTTTCTCTACACAATTTTCTTTGGATTTCTTTGGTACTCAGAGAAAATTGGTCAAAATGGTGGTTGCTCAATTTTCTCTAGTTTGACCACTCTTCATTTTCTACCTCACTTTCTTGGCCATTTCTGTCCTTGGCCATTTTCTTAGCCTTGACAACCAACATTTTCTCTTCAACATAGACCTTCACATCATCTTTGGTCATACCGGGCATGTCGAATCTCATCTTGTACTCTCCCTCTCCTTCCTTTATCTCCCATGGAGTCCTTCCCCTGCTGTACTCGCCGGTCTCAGTTAATGTCGGCGACGGCCACCCGTTGGTGTAGACAAAAGGGTCTTCCATCATCCTCTCCATGGTTTCCATCATTTGTTGCACTGTCCTTGCTGTTGGAAATCTATCCCACAACCCTGCATATAATGAAGGGTCAAAGGATCTATTTTTAATATTCTTTTTAGACTTTCAATCCTTACATAGTGTTGCAAGATTTGTTCTTTGTCCACCTAAAAAGTAGGGAAAATTTTGAAAAAAAATCCAGATAAACCCTACGAATTTTGTGGCAGATGAACACTACATGGACATCTCTAATCCTTACTAAAATTCAAATTTGAATAAAAAGTCATTTGATTCCATAAATTTGAGTCCACTTTTCAAAAAATTAAATTTTTTATTTTTATATATTTTTTAATAAATTTTTTTAATATTTTACACATTTTTTTTTATTTTTTAAATATTATCTAATTTAAATATACTTAAAAATATAATATTTGTAATAAAAAAAACTAAAAAAATTTATCAAATACAAAAAATATAAAAATTTATACATTTTTATATTTTGTTATATTTAAAGATTTTTGTATATATTTTTTAATTTTAAGTATATTAAACTTAAGTGAATTAAAATATTTAAAAAAATTTAAAAATAAAAATTAAAAATTTTTAAAACTATTTTTGAAGACTTTGGTGATTACAATCTCTTAAATTTCTTCACTCATTACTTAAAAACTAAAAAATTGAACGCTTTTATCCAATCTTTCCACTATCATGCTTTTCTCTAATTTATAGTAGGGGTGCAACTCGGGCGGGTTCGGTCGGGTTAGGGGTTTACCCAAGCCCAACCCGAATTGTGTTTGGCAGTGCCCAAGCCCGACCATCAACCCGAGCATGGCTGCCCAAACCCGGACCAAACTTTATAATTTGAACTCGGGTTAGCCCGAATTGCACTAGACAACAAAAAGCTTCTGCAATGGTGCTTCTCCAAACAAGCCCTCTAGAGTGCCTACTCTATTTGAAGAAGCTGCTGGAGTTTGGTGGCACTAGCTTGTTTGAGTTGAAGACACAGATCACACTTTTAAGAAACAAAGTTAGCCATTGCCATTGGGATGGGACACTCAAGCCAGCCAAAAAAAAAAAACATTAAGGACATCTATTTAATTTAATTTATATAGATCATATAATTTCTATAATATATTAAATGCAATTCGGGTTCAGGTTGCTCAGGTTAGCCACTGATTTTGCCCAGGCCCGGCCCGAATTACAATTCGGGCATCAAAAATCTGCCCAACCTCGTCCAGATTACAAAATATTGTTGCCCAAGCCCAAAAAAAACTTGGGTTGGGCACGGGTTGCTCGGGTTGAGCCCGCCCAAGTTGCAGCCCTAATTTATAGCTTCCACTCAAACTACAACACTCATCAGTCTTACTCACATTTAAGTTTATTCATTGAATATGAAACTTTTTACCAAAACTTCTACTCAACTTGAGTAAAAATATAAGTAATAACAACAAAAACAGAACATTCCATGAGGCATAATATAAAATTGTTGCACAAAATTTATATATATATATAAAAAGAGTTTGTACACATTCATACATTGAAAA